TCTTCTTCTTCTTCTTTTCTTCTTCTTCCTCCTTTGTTCTTCTTTTTTTCTTTTACTTCTTATCTTCATTATTAAAGTTAATATAACTATTGTTATTACTATTATTATTATTATATTATCATTATTGTTATTATTAATATCATTATCATTATTATTATTATCATTATTATTACTATTACTTGTCATATTACTACTACTACTACTACTACTACTACTACTACTATGCTTCTACTACTACTACTACTAGTAGTAGTACTACTACTAAAATACTACTACTACTACTATACTTCTACTACTACTAGTACTAGTATACTTCTACTAATATGAAGACTACTACTAGTACTACTACTACTTCTATACTACTACTACTACTACTAAAATACTACTACTACTACTACTATACTTCTACTACTACTACTACTACTATTACTTCTATTACTGCTACTACTACTACTATACTACGACAACTACTGCTACTACTACTACTACTACTACTACTACTCCTATACTATACTACAACTACTATACTACTACTACTACTACTACTACTACTACTACTATTGCTATACTACTACATGTTCAACAACTACTACTATACTACTACTATTACTACTATAATACTACTACTTCTACTATACTACTACTATACTCCTACTACTACTACTACTATACTACTACTACTATACTATACTACTACTATACTCCTACTACTACTACTACTATACTACTACATGTACAACAACTACTGCTAATACTACTACTTCTACTACTATAGTATTACCATTGTCCCACGCAGGAAATGACGGCGTTCCAAGCCCTACTCAGCAAGCCTGACCTGTTCACCGCCCAGGAGACTGGACCGGTCATCGACGTCATCGTGGAGTGCGTACAAGCGGAGAAACCGAAACTGCGGTACCCGACGAGCGAAAATGTGCGGAGCTGGGTCGCCAAGAGATACCGCGAAGAAGGTGTGACTGGCTTAGAAAGTTTGTTTGAATGAATAAGCGTAAAATGATGATAGTGAATGTGAGAGACATTGTGGCAGCTCTAGGAACGAGGGGCTGGGTGGAAGGGAGGGGGGGGGGGTAAAACTCGATAAACTCGGTAAAACCCGATGATCAGCTCCGAGATGATGATAGTTAATGTTCAAGATTTATAAAGTTGCAGATAGAGGGACGAGGTATCTCCAAAAAAAACAAAAAAAAGCTGATATACCTTATACCAAGAAGTTGCTGGTAACTTCTTGCTTATACCACACAATACGCACAAATAGAAAATGACATGCAATTGCCTAAAAACGCCTAGATTAAGGTCGGAAGAAAGGTCAAAAGGGGGTTGAAATAAAAACTTTGACATCTAGTGCAGGTCGAGTCGGGTTATCATGTTTATTTGTTTTATGTGAAAACAAAATTGAAACACGTCTATCAAAATTGATGACGTATAATTGTCCCTTATATCACCTTTTCTACCTCTGACATTTTTATACCTAACCTAAGACTCAAGTTGGAGTTTAATTTGAGAATTTTTGAAGCTTCTTGAGGGTGTTTTATTATTTAATGTCGAATTTAGATCATCTGATGATAATATGATCGGCTTTATTTTAAGATCGACTTAAAGGCTTGTTGAAACATTTCCATACCCCGCCTAGCTGAAGTATGAATTTGGCGTTACAAATGTAATTATCTAATTATATTGATGATTATAAAAAATTATGTTGTTAAAGTATGAATAAAATATTCCTGTAGTATTTGATGTGATTTTTTGTGTTTGTTTGTCGTTTTCTATAATACTTCATTATTTGACATCAGAAATTGATATGAAAATGTTGATATTGCTATTACTATCATTGTTATTTTATTGCAATACTTCCCTGATGGGGCAAATAATATTGAAAAGTTGAAAGGAACAGTGTCAAAATAGTTCAGAGCCTGACAATTTTGTGTGTGTGTTTTTATTGAAAGAAATAAACTGTTAATCTGAATTGCGAAATTAACTCAATTTGAAATTTGATGAAGGTCGCCCCCCCCCCCCCGCTCCCTTCTGGTCGATGGTATTGTGGTTTGAAATTAAGTCATTGTCTTCAAGGTAAATAGGCCTAAGTATTCAACTATTCATCTGCTTCCTCATCACACGGCTTCTTCTACTTCTTCTCCTTCTTCTTCTCCTTTTTCTTCTTCTTCTTCTCCTCCTATTTCTTCTTATTCTACTTCTTCTTCTTCTCTTCCTCCTCCTTCTTCTCTTTCTTCTTGTTCTTGTTCTTCTAGTCTTCTTGTGTTTCTTCCTTTGTGTCTCGTCTAATAAACAGTTGTTTTTAGTCGCAAATTATTTGGCATTGATATCAATCGCAAGTGTGTAAATAAGAGATAAAGGACTGCAAACTTGCGATTGATTAGAGGACTTGCGATTGATTCAGATCAATCGCAACTCTTTATAAGAGGGAGCCCAGTTGTCAGTAGTATTACCACGAAAAGTAGAAGTCTTGTATGTCGTTGTAAAGAGAAAGAACTGGACCCTGTTTCATAGAACGTTATATCAATAACAAGTTACAAGCTACTCTGTTAAAAGCTACTGAAATCAAGGCATCTGATTGGCTGAGAGCAAATTTATCATAGAAATTAAGCATTTCTTATAAATAAAACAAATTTATGAAACGAGCCCCCGATCTTACATCAAGCAGAGTACAGCGGGGCACGAGTAATGTGAAGATTGTCTGCTTATATACACCGTTGGTCATAATGGCGGAATAATTATTTTTACCCCAATTAATTGAATGATTTTGACAATGATTTATTCCTAATAGATCGAGATAATAGTATACATTCTCAGATTTTATTGAATGACAATTGGGGAGTGTTTGTGTTGCGTGACTGCTAAAGCAGGTGTGTGCTACAATGCTAATCAACTATGGGACCTACGTCCTTAAGTCATAACTGAAAGTAAAAAAAAAAAAAAAGCAATACATTTTCAATAATTCATTGCATTTTGCCCCGACCCCCAACATTAACAATATCTTCTGTGTGGGCATGCCTTGAACCATAATGCATGGCCCTACAGAGGATATTTTCCTGTCGGGGACTGGAGGGAAATGCAATGAATTATTAAAAATGTATTGCATTTTCTTTGTTTTGGTTTTTTTGTGGGGGCGTCGACGTACCCTAGCGCCCGCTGCGTACAGTCATGATTCATTGGCTAAGCAATGGCCTCGTTACCATGACCCCCCAGGATCAAAACCGTGTCGCTGTGCGATATTAGTGCCCTTTTGTGGGGCATTAATCCCTATTAATGTCAGTTATGACTTGTTTGCTATCGTTTAATAAAGGAACCCTGTGGATGGGGGGGGGGGGGGGAACAAGTGCTTGTCACAAAAGTTGCCATGGAGGATCAAAATTTGATCCTATGATCCAGGCTATACTTCATGAAACATATAGGCCCGAATTCACAAAGGAGGTTTGACGACAAACCTTAGTTTTCATATGACGCGTTTTACGCGTTTTTTACAAACCTGGTTTGAAAGAACAAAAGGAGGTTTGGCGAAACAAAAGGAGGTTTGAGCTCAAACCTTGCTTTGTGAATTCGGGCCATAGGGTGAGGGTTGCACTTCATTGTGAGTTTAGGTCATAATGTTTAGGGTTATGGTTAGGTACACGTAATATGATATATTAAATGTGTATAAAAACGTTCCCACGACGCCATTAATATCACCATTTAGATGCAGTTAGAGTGGCAGAAACGTGACCATATATTGACCACATTGTTGTCGTAATCAAGCATGTCATAGGGGCTTCTTTATATGTTTTTACATTAGCAAGCTAACGTAACCGACAGTTAAAGACAACTTACTTCCCGACCAGCTTTCGATTCCGAGTCGGGATCTAAAGGAATACCCCTAAACGCGTACAGCATAATTTTGAAAAAGTAACCTTTTTTAATGGACGTTTTGTAACCCCTTAACGCTCGGACCGCGTCCAATTTATAAAAAATATACCCTTTTTAATGCGTTTTCTTGGTCATGCATGCTTACAGTATTTATATTTAAATGAGACCCCTGGGTCTGTTGGCCGCTTTGTCGTTATTGTTTTTTTAAAGATATTTTAGCGTTTCTCAGTTAATGCATGCTTTTGAGGTGAGCTCAGCTCCATTTAAATAAAATATATAACAACTTCTTTGCATTGTAATTATTCTACTTTTCTCCTTTAAAAGTTTACATTTTTGTAATGACTGGCCTTTATTTCAAATGTTATTATGTTTTGCATAAGTTTGCGTAGTATTTATTTTCATGATATTTGAACTGTGCTGGAAATGAAAATAAATAAACTTAGTGAAATTAAATTAAATTGTACATTGAGCAGTATTCGGTGAAATTCTATTTTCTGTCATTATTTTAAATACCAGCAATCAATATTCCCTTGAAAAATACAATGATGTCAACCTCTAAATGGACGAATGAATGCAATCACAAAAAAGGAGACTTATAATCTCTTTAAACTCCTCAATTATTATCTAGAGCTTTGTGCGATATTTAAAAAAAAAAAAAGCAGTTTAAGAAGTGACTGTAAAAGTTGACTATTTTAAAGTGATTTATTACCTTTGATATTTCGAGCACTTACTTTGGGACATTAATCCCCTCTGAAACTTGTGCTTTTAGCATTTTTAAGAGTTTATCCCACTTCTTCCTGACTGTCCTAGTCTACCCCTAGCACTGCCCCAGTTCACCTCCACGGTAGCCCAATCCCCTTCGGCCCTTCCCCGTTCAAATATTCTCTTTTTTTTAATGATTAACTGCATATAAAAACCCGCACAATATATTATTGTAAACAAATGGAGGGACCACCATAAATCTTTGCAAAGTTACAACGATAAAAAGTCCTGCCTCATGATTCGTGTCCCATTTTTTGCTGTTTTTTGTAATGGTTTAGACTTTAACGGCGGGGCAAAGCTGTACAACAAACTCGAATCTTATCTTTTATTTCGAGAACGTTCATAATTACGTAACTGGAAAACACAAAGTCATGAATGCAAATAACGCTTCACCGTAAGGTGGACGCGTTTGCTTTAAAACGCTGATCGTACACGGACGGTTTTGATTTACAGTCCATTCTTGAAGCTGACCGTCGACGCAACAGCATTCTGTAAGTATCCGTATCTTCTTGTATATTTTGTTGTCTTCAAAATATGTTTCTTATTATTAGCAGGCTTTAGTATAATTTAGATCTAGTATGTTCTATAGTTCAGCTAAATGCAATCGTGCTATGTGTCATGTAATTCTCTGAAAGACACAAGATTTGGTTACAACACTTTTAAATTTGTGAGAATTTTAGTTTATACAAAATGGAGTCTTAAGCTAATGACACTTTGTACGCAGACGGTTACAAAAAACTATCATTCAGATATTTAAGAAAAATGTTGCATTGGATCAAAATCGATCGCAATTTTTTCCAATTAATCGGCGCAAAGTAACCATCTCCCATCTCTCCTCTAAATCATTGCGATTGTTATCTAACTCACTGTACTGTTATTAGCGTTTTTATTGCGATACAATTTTGACTGTTCAACTCCGTCGCAAGTCGTCCGTGATTTTAACTCCTCTGACAAAATTGCACCGGGCTCGAAGGTTTCGCTTTGTTATAGGCCTTACGGTTAAGGGTAGGGTTGGGATTGGGCTTTATTTAGGTTAGGATAAGGGTAGATGAATGGTACAAAAATTTTGATATTTCATATTCAAATTTCAGTAATGTAAATGGCACCAGTCATCTACTAATAGTGATTATGCAAATGAGCGTCCACAATGTTTTTAATAGGTTGAATGGTATTTCATTGGTAAATGCATGGTACCCAATGGTACGTTGCGAGCGTTATCTCAATGGTATCAGAATGGTATTTAAGTGGTGCCCAATATTATGGTAGGCCTACGTCGCCAGTGTTATCTCAATGATATCGGAATGGTATTAAAATGGTGTTTGTGAATGGTATCCGTATGGTATTTTCAATGGTACTTCCGAATGGTATACCATTGGTATACTATTCAAGATTATTTTTGTGAGGGTATGCTGACCGTTTATTCGGGTGTGGGAAATTTTGAAAATTGGATGGATAGTAATTTTTTAAAGTTTTGATATATTTGGATGCCCCTGTGGATTTATTATAAGCACCAGAAAATTTAGCCTCTAAAACACTTCCGCTTTCGAGAAAAAGAATAATCAAAAATTTATCGGTGCTCCCGGTAAATTTGAAATATTTCAAATAGCTATAAGGCCATTCAATGGTAACTGCGACCATGGAATTCTCAGAATATGCAGTTTTAATATTAGTCGGGGCTGTTAGGGATATTTTGGTGCAGATTCTTCTAAATTCTAAAAGCACCAAATTTGGCCCAAAGGTACTGTAGCTTATATTATACTATTACGATTTCTGCCGGGCGCCAAGAAGGGCGCCCTCCGGGACGTGTCTTTTTTAAACCTAACCTTGCCCTCCTATCGCTGCATGTTATTGCCTCAATAGGAACCATACGTCATGCACTAGTCATAAATATCAATGATACGCACGCACACATAATTTATCAAATAATAAGATTTCATACAAAATTTACAAGTGCAAAGCCACTTTTACTTAAAAAGAATGACATGGCGAGAAAATCGGTCGGATTACCGATAATGAATGACTACCCAGGTCATAAATTTTCTATAATCATTGCGACATACTGGTTAAGTCAATTTTGATCTCAACCACACCTTACCAACGCAAATATTCATATATTCAAATATTCATATGCAGCGCAGGTTTGGCTAGGTGTCACGTGAGAGACTTTTTTTTTTTTATTATTGCTACGGACACACAGAATAAAGGGAAATAAAGCTTGTTAATTAAAGTTAAATTGTAACGTTTAATTTCCAATCATTTCTCCTGTTTCACACACTTTGTTTTGGCTTCAGTAATAATACAGTATGTAATTAAACTTATAAAATTATTCTGGATGGGTAGTTTCCCGTCTGACATCGACGCCGGTCACAGCTCGTGTCGTCCACTTGGCCCTGGCCTCCGCAGACGGCGTCTTTGCTCCACTAGGCCCCGGTAGTCGCTCCGGATTCTTGACCTCCGCAGACAGAGATACGATGGTGTGCGTCCCGATCCCAGACAAGAGCTAGCCCCCGACGAAAGCTATGGAGAACCGGGTGGCAGTTGAGCTAGCCTCTCGTCCCGACGTGGAATTACCCTCAGATATTGACTTTAATTGCCGACTAACATGACGTCCCGGCCCCCCCCCCACTCAGTGTTATTTAGGGTACGCATATGCTCGTTCCCTATTTTTTAAAGCACCCCCTATCTGAGGACTGCCAACATTTTCGAACCCCCCTTTCGCGGGCTTTTCGCGGCCTTTTCCTGCTTTGGAGACCCCCCTAAATCAGGAAAAATGCTCAATGTACCCCCCTAAATTCGGAATAATTTCTCAGGAGTCCAAAGAGATGAGAAAAAAGAAGAAAAAACACCCCTTTTTTGAAGAAATCTCCGGGTGAAAGTCAAATACACCCCTTTTTTTACAATTCTCGGGCCGGACTTTGTCGCACGAAAATTACCCCTTTACCGGACATTTTGGCAACACGCATGCGGTCATTCCGACCCCTGAGTGGGGGGGGGGGGGCGGGCATGACGTTCAGTCTATTATAGCCCCGGCCCCCCACTCAGGTTTAGAAATGACCGCATGCGTGTTGCCAAAATGTCCTTTTCGTAACAAAAGAAAAGGTCGACCCGTATTGACTTTACACACTGGACTTTTGCTGAAAAAGGGGGGGGGGGTGCTGAAAAAGGCTCGTATACAAAAGAAAAAGGTCGAGCCGTATTGACTTTACACACCGGACTTTTGCTGAAAAGGGGGGGGGGGTCGGTTGGAACACGCATATGCGTACCCTAAATAACACTGAGTGGGGGGGGGGGGGCCGGGGGCCGGGATTATAGCTTAGGTGGTTCTCCTCGATTGCAGAAAATCCACCTCTTAATATACCCTACGGTTACTAAGTAAATTCTAAAAACATGGCTACAAATATTTGGAGAGGAAATGATCTTACAAAGGAAAATACTTGTATTGAAAAGAGGCTTCCTAAATGTGTGCTAAACAACAGATAAAACATGTACACTGAATTAATGACTTCCCCAGGCCTATTCATAGGGAACAATACATCTTGGCCTGAAAAGAAAACATCTAACCTTAACATCTTCACCTGACCTTAACAAAGAACACTCCAGACCAGAGAGCGAAACAAATAAATTTCTTTCCTGACACTAGGTTAGGTTTAAAAATGTCGCCTCCGGGACACGTATTTTTTTATTTACACGCTAGCGAGGGGAATTTCTCGATTAATTCCAATGAACCCGCTAGCGAAGAGTCTAGACTGGATCGGAGAGCTCGAACTAATACGTTAATACATACAAATATATATATATTCCTTTTTTTTACCAAGAAAAGGTGCACCATGGTAATTTATTTTAACAAACACATCAACTTAAAGTATTACCTAGACATCTCATCACCATAGCCATTGTAAACCCATATATTAATTGAAGCAGTTATCGTCAGTTGGCTGTATCCTGCGTGTTGTAATTTATATAATGGATTTTGAGTAATATTTGCATCTACCTGTAGTTGAAGAATAGATACAGTGCATAAACTGGAATATATGGAGATGTGGAGAAATCAAATTTGAGCTTAATTGGAAGGAAGTAACGCGGATTATTAATTCAAGAGAGACTGGGAGATAAGGAAAGCAAGACATTGTTGAAATCGAGAGATGAATCGCGAGATAGCCTTGCTTTAGTTATAAAGGAATGTTTCTGTGATATAATATTGTCTTGTCATGAGAGGAGGTAGACGATATTTATATTTAATTGGCGATTAGTGTAATTATTAGAAAAATAGGACATAGAATTAATGATTAATGAGATGTCAGTCAGTCACTCAATAGTGTCTTACAGTAAAATCTAGAAGGTAAACGGGTTTCCTTGCATAATTTGAATACTAGGACCCTGCTAATGTTTAAATTTCACAGACAGGTCATATATGACATATTCATAATTTCTGCAAAGTTCAACAGAATTTGAGGTTGGCTGCAAAAGGGACATAGTATGAAAAGAGAGGTTATTTCTGAAATGAAAGGGGCTATGTGACTTTCAAGGAGGAAATTACCATTTCTATAGCTCGTGACGACTATTTTGAATTTCCTTTTAAAAAGAATCAAGAACTTCCTGGGGCTCCGTCCGCCTCATTAAGATACCCGGCAAAGGCTCCCCCTGCATCCCGTCCGTAAAGATAGAAGTGGTTCCCAATCCCAAGACAACCTTTTGTTGTATAAGTTTGGAGAGAATGTGATTTGTATGTAGTTAAAGCTTATAATAACCACTCCCGTGGACCTTTTCTTATTTACACAATTCCTTGCTGTCTGCTTCCTCGAGATCACTGAAGCGAAGAAAGGTAATAATGTATTGCAAGAAAGCCAAGAATCCCTATTTAGTGGGGGATTTATCCTTTTTAAGACTCCCGACAAAGGCTCCCCCTGCACCCGATCCGTAAAGATAAAAGTGGTTACCAAGACAACCTTTTGTTGTATAACATCGGAGAGAATGGAGTTTTATGTAGTTAAAGCTTCTAATAATAGGGTGATCACACTGCCTGTGCAAACAGTCTGCCCCGCGAACACACACACAACAGCAGTCAGTTGGTAGAAATAGCAATTTTTGAAAATGTATCTAAAAAAACAAAAACAATATTTTTAAATCTTTATTTCACATATATTTCAAGCATACCTTTAAATACAATTCTGTGTAGTTTCATTGTTATAGGCATATGGGAAATATGTTAATTATTTAATTAGAATATTGTCTTTTCAGCCACGTGTGACATTGCCCGCTGATCGCCCATTGACTCGCGCTGCTATTCTGCGTGGTGAAAATGCACCTCAATGTATAAAACTCCCCTACAAAAATGCAATATCCTCATGTGTTTTACTCTTTAAATCAATTTGTTGTTTACACTCAAGGTAGCCACAACTGTACTGGGGTCACCAAAGTTTGTGTTACTCTGAAATTCAGTCCCTGTGGAATGGTTTCTTGGAAAATCGTCATAAATCCTCAAATCTGACATCTTTTAAGTAGGCAAATATACTGTGATGTAGCTGAAAGTCTACACATTCTTATCATATGATCGGTTTTTCTGAATAACTTTTGAAACACATGAGGAAATAGCTGTGACGGTGATCCAAGTAATTTCCATCGCCATATTTCATTGGCATTGCAAAAATATTTGGAATTTAAGGTTAATATTTGGTGTAAATATGATCTATGAATATATGATTAAAAAAACGCCCCAATGAACAGTTTGACTTTCCTAATCTGCATAATGAGTGCGCGAATATATAATTAGCTGAAATGACCTAATTTGCATATTTGATGAATATTCATGATTTTTTTTTTCTTTTTCAAATGAAATATATTTCCATACCTGTCTGATATACCAGGTACATAGGTTTCACTGATGTATCATGTTCGGTTTTGATTTGATTACATATGCGCATATTAATTAGGTGGACTTAGTTATTTTCACAACTTTTTTATATCTGCAGATTCGCAAAAATGGCAAAAATTACTTATTTTGTTGGCTTCTGTTTTCAAAACGGTAATAGATATATGAATTTTCTTTTTTGTATTTTTTACCACAAAGATGATATTTTAGTGTCTGATAATTTAATTTATTATTTGTGTCCAAGAAAGTGATGAATGAATTAAGTTGTCAACTTTGTCGAATTATGCCAATTTTGCCAATTTGACCATTTCTGGCAGGTTTTTCGGTAATTTTGCGATATAAAAAAAATGGTATAAAATCACAACGCATTGAACGATTTCGATTCTGTTTTTTGTTTTTTTAAGCTTTCATAAAGCTTGATCATTTGCAACCATCAAATAACATGTATTTGTTGTTATTATTTTTGGTGTGCTATACCTACTAATAACCACTCCCGTGGACCTTTTATCATATTTCTCGCTGTCTGCTTTTTTCCTAATAAGTGTACTTTTCTATCTGAAAAGTACCACATTTCTTTTCTCCATAACATACGCCCCTATAGAGCGTCTCAACTCTTTTTCATTTATTTTCCACCAGAGCTCGCTCGTTTTTATAATTGGTTTAACTGTGTTATTTATGAAATGTATTTTCAGTCTGTCATGATTTAATTGTGTTTAAAACCCATCAGGATTTGGTGTTGTTTTTCTCATGATAAGACTTTACGCGCTGCGACGTCACAATTCTTTAAATTTTCTCAATATTCAGACCATCACACCCAACTGTAAAGTATGTTTCTTAAAAAGTATATTGGACCATGTCAAGAGAGAAACGAATATTGGAATCATCCCTGATAATGTATTCACAATCATAAAAATGTAGGGGTATATACCAATGTCTAAATATGGTAGATTTACATGTTGATGATTCCCTTTGAAGTTGGAAATTATATTCCAGAAAGTGCCCTACTTTGCTTGTGCCCCCACCTCCAAGCCAACTTTGGAAAGTGCTCAACCGCGCCTGTTTGTGATTAACCTTTTAAACATTTTAGCTTTGATTCGACTCATACTCCCGATCATCTATCGTCGAGTCAGAAGACTGAAAGGTCCTTTATATTTAACGCTATTTAACGATTTTTGGTATACAGTTTATTTAAATACTGATCCTGGCAGTCCGTAGGCTGAATCACATTCAGTTTACATGATAAAATCAACTGAAATTGCTCATCAATGTTATAACAATTATCATACAATGTGAGAACATTAAAACATAAAAACAATACGGCAATCAAAATAAAAAAGACAGTATTCTGAAAACAGGGTCAAACTATGTTCACAAATTGCACTGAGATATATAGCAAAAAAGGAGAGTAGATGGAAAGTAGGAGAAAAGAAGAGTTAGAGAAGAGGGATTCGAGAGGAGGATAGTGGAAAACGAAGTAAAAGGTAAGAAACAGTGACCTTGGTTACTGAAAGGGGGGGGGGGATAGAAAGAGGCCAGCCAAATTTTTATTCCCAAACAGGTTTGCAATTTCTTATATTTCCGTTCTTCTCAATGGCTGATATGTTCTACGTCATTGGCAGCTTGGAAAGAGGTCACAAACAATTAGACTTTGATTTTGTATTGCTTTGCCTCACTATTTATAAAGGCAAAATAACTGAATAAACTGAGACTTGAACCCACAACTCTAAGATTGCATTACGCTGACCGTACCGATTGAGCCAACGATGGGTTAATGAAAAGCGATTCTGCATGATTTCAATAACCCTATCACTCACCCTAACGATTACGTCATTGTTAATGACGTAACATATCAGCCAATCAGATGACCGGAAATATTAGCATTGGCAAACCTGTTTGGGGGAGTGAGAGAGAATTAGGGGAAGTATAATAACTGTGTATGCAAAATTACATTTCATAGTGCCACATTCAATGTCATTCATACAGATTAAAAAAGTTAAAATACAATAAATGAAGTTATACTTTTTAGGAAATGGGAATGCACATAATTATACTGAATATGTGAGTAATGCTTTAACCACGGGTGGCCAACCCGCGGCCTGCGAGCTCTTCTGGTGCGGCCCGTGGAGCTTTGAAAAATTAATTATAAAAAAAAGTTCATGAAAGAAATGCGGGCCGCATAGCAGCTATGAAATAGGGTAAAACATTTACACACAGCTTTCTCTATTTCCTTAATTTGTTTTCATCATTCACAACATATTGACTCGTTACGTGGTTGATACAAAACTCCTCAAATTCCCTCTCATTACATTACATTAACGACATTAACTTTTCTTGCCGTGTTTATATCAGTTTGTAATTTCTGCATGCAGTAACGTTTGTAAATATACAAATGTTGTGAATCGAGAAATATGTTTGAAATGACATACTTGTATTAAAACTTACAACCCTTTTCTCCCGCCTTTTAATTTTCTCATGAATCTTAATCGTCAACTAGATAGTCCCCTCCCCTATACACCGCGTACAATGAGATGTACAGTTAGGATATTCTTTACGATGTGTCCTTGATTATGTTTGAAATAACAACCAAAAATGGCATCGACTTCGAGACCTGCGAAGAAAAGGAAAGTTTTTGATGAAGGCAGAAACTTTAAATCATTAAAATTTTAAATATTGGTCTCTGAATTATTTCTTCATAAAAGAGAAAGGTAAGCTACTTTGGCTCATTTGTCACCACGAAATCACACTAAAAAAGTAAGCCTGATTTTTTACCCACTGATTTTGTTGTTTGCTTGTTTGTTTTTTCAAAATTGCAGGTGTGTAGGCCTACACATATTGCCTGCGTGTGTGTGTGTGGGGGGGGGGGGTACTCACATATGAGGACGTAAGGAATGTGCCGCTCTAATGGGTCACTTTTCATACAAAAATCCCTAAACATGAGTCCCACGTTTAACAAAAATACCATTAACAATTTATCAACTTTTATCATACAAGCCCTTTTCCTTTTGGAACTACGCTTGACCTTTATCCCGGATGGCGGCCATTTTTTATTTGGCCAATATGACCAGCATGACAGCCCCAAGGAGACCTGTGATTGATACAAGCACATCATAATCAGATTATCTGACCCCGAAAACCCCCTTAATGTATAAACATTTAAAACATACTAGCCCTTTTCCTTTTTGGAACTACACTTAACCTTTTTCTCAGAGGTGGCAGTCATTTTGGATTTGACCAATATGACCACCATGACAGCCCCAAGGAGACCTAAAATTGGTAAAAGAACATAATAATCAGATTCTCTGACCTCGAAAACCACATAAATATATAAACTGTTATCATACTAGCCCATTTCCTTTCGTAGCCACACTTGACCTGTAACTCAGATGGTGGCTATTTTGGATTTGACCAATATGACCAGTATGACAGCCCCAAGGAGATCTCAAATCGATGAAAGAACATTATAATCAGATTCTCTGACCCCCTAAACCCCACAAATATATAAACTATTATCATACAAGCCCTTTTCCTTTTGGAACTACGCTTGACCTGTAACTCAGATGGCGGCCATTTTGGATTTGCCCAATATGGCGACCCCAGAGGGCGCCCTTCTAGGCGACTGGCAGAAATCGTTAAAATATAGTATAAACTACCTCTGGGCCGATTTCGGTACTTTTAGAAGAATATGCACCAAACAACCCCTATCTAGCCCTAACAGCCCCGACTATATATAGTTCCAAACGGGAGTAGCAAATCGGTCGATTGTAGTCAAGAAACATTGTTTTAAGCTAAAGTAATATCAGTCTTGAGAGGGAGCTATACAACATAAAGAGTTCATTATTTTATTTTTACAATTTCATCACTTTAGTCTCGACTTCAACCGCTACAGCGATCATTGAATATTGTACAATCGCATATGCTTCCAATATGTTCATTTGAACTAAATTAATGACCCCATACCAAAACTTTGTATTACCTTTAATAGGGCATTTTCCGCCGAGAATTATAACCTTTCAATTTTCCTGACATTTCTCCACCCTCTCAGAAACATCATGGCCCCTCTTGTCGTACTCATCTCCGGCTGTTCGACCGGTATCGGTCTGGCCCTAGCGGTCAGGCTGGCCCAGGACCCAGACAAGAAGTACCTAGTCTATGCCACCATGAGGAACTTGGCTAAGAAGGAAGCCATCGAGAAGGCGGCGGGCGATGCCCTCGACAAGACGCTCTTCGTTCGGCAGCTCGACGTCACCGTCGATGATCAGGTCAAGACCATCTTCGAGTTCATTATGGGGAAACACGGGCGTGTCGACGTCCTGGGTGAGTGTAGCCTAGTCTGCAGGGACAGACTCTAATTTGAATGTTACCACTGTTCATAAAGCCTTGAGTAGAGCCTAGGTCTGTGAGTCTCTAGCCCATGCAGTATGCCGTCTTATATAGTCTCACATTGCAGTTACAGTGACTGGCAAGGTTACGTGCATGCAAACTAAGTGTATTATATTGTATTGTCAGTGTAAGCAGTTCAACAAACTTGTATGCATCGTGTAACTTTCGGCTTACTTTCTCTTTAGGCTCCAGATATGGCGGGGAACCGCCTAAAAAAAATACTTCAGACATTTTGTTTAGCAAATCCAGACTATTATCTTACTGGTGTTATGACCATATTGGATCGTTATCATTATACGTGGGCTCACAACGCATTGAAACAAAACATTTGAAAACCGTTTGAAAACCTTATTTCTTTCTTTCATTCGTTATTTCTCTTTTTCTTCCATTCTGATTTTGTTTCACTATTTATTTTCATCAATTTTCTTTCATTCTTTCTTATTATTATGATTATTATTAGGCATTTAGCTACGCTAATTCATTGTACACTATATCACAACGCTTACAATAATATCCAATATAAATATAAAACCACAAATCTTAACATCACATTGAATAAACAAAAATAATAGCGAATCAAGTAGGCAATAAGTAGGTTTTAAGGAGTTTCTTAAAAACATCCTCTGATGGAGCAGCTTTTATAATGGAGGGAAGTTTATTCCACTCCTTAGCTGCTGCAACAGTGAATGTGCGATCTCCTGCCTTACTACGAGCCACATGAAAAGTCAATCGAAATGGGTCTGCATTGGAGCGAAGGTTTGTACGCACAGGTCGATTACTTATTCTTTTATTTATTTCTCCCTTCTTCCTCCTTTCTTATTTCTTTTCACAGTAAATAACGCTGGTTTTGGTTTCTTCGGGGCGCTGGAGGCGATGAGTATGGAGAAAGCTAAGAATATGTTTGACACCAACTATTTTGGCACGGTACGGTTGATACGAGCAGCGCTGCCCATCATGAAGAAACAGAAATCTGGACGCATCGTGAATATCAGTAGCGTTGTTGGACATCTTGGTGAGTACGAGTAGTTTTTTAATTTTTGCTCCATTTCATCCTCTTAAGATTTATATTTCTGCTAGCCCATGAGAACGCCACTGAGGCCAGGAGACCGATAATGTCGTTCGCGTGGGGTTTATATGGGTTTCATCAATTAAGATCGATATCGATTTCTAATGTGTATTTATACTATGGAATAATTATAATCATATTACATCATATTTTGTATTATATTATAATTTGATTTCTTTAACAAGTGTTGTACTTCTCTCTTTTTGTACCTATAGAAGAAAAAACACAGCCATTATGTTAAATGGTTCTGAATATAATTGTTTGTTCGTTTTGATATGTATGTATATCTTTTTTATGCGGAAAACCAAACTGAACCAGACCAATCCTAAAAATTGACTTTGAGATCGCTTTTTGGAGGGCTTACTAGAAACTGATAGCTATGCCACACGGTGTATTAGTTTTGTGATTGCATAACTCGTAAAATCAACAAACGGTTTAACGAATAAAGCAAAGGTCGATTTGGTTTGCAAACATGAGAAGAGCCTAATACGTAGGCTAATCCGAACATGATTTGTATCAGTGATACAAAAGGGTATCGAAAATTGAAATCGACCTTGAGTTGATTTCTCGAAAGTTTGTGCGATCGTGTTCAATTTAATTTCTTTTTCTCTTTCTCCCTCTCTCTTTCTCTGAAGCTTTGCCTTACATGGATATGTACAATGCGTCCAAGTTTGCGATGGAGGGTCTTAGTGAGTCGTTACTGCCACAGCTTAAGAACTTTGGAATAAGGTACGTGATATCACATTGAACATATTTAAAATGAAGCCTAGTTCAGACATGATCAGTAAACCGTTACTATATATAATTATATATATATATATTTATATATATATATATACATGTACTTGTTTTTTTTTTTTTTATAAATGACAGGGGGCGTTTCACAAATCTTGTCATCAGTGACAAATGACACTTTTTTTGTTATAGGCTACTGAAATTCTTGATTCTGATTGGTTATCAACAGTTTTGTCACTGATTTTTGTAATTTGTCATTGAAAAAAAGGCTTTGTGAAACACCGTATTCGAATAAATAAATTAATAAATAAACAAAGCTGAGTGAATACATGCAAAGAAGGACATTTTTCGCTCACTGAGTTGCATGTCATTCGTTTACTCTTTTAAAAAAGATATATGTTTACAAAACCGCGGCGGGTTTATTTTGGCGGTGATTTATCGCGTCATATCTGAATAAGCCTTTACACGATCAAATTTTAAAATAAGTCGAATGAATAATATCCACTGCTGGCATTTTCTTATTAAATTGGATATGCTAGAAATTCGTCAACTGAACACCTTGATATGTTTTGTTAAAGAAACACTACGAATACCCCTAAAACAGATAACAATAAAAATGAACACACACAAACTAAACTGTAATAGAAGCACTGTGATATATATAGTGCACGTTCTTGACACGAGGTTCTAGGCAATCCTCGATGCTTGGTGCTTACATCCTTGGGTAAGATGTGTCCTTCTCTGCACAGGTGTAGATAGTATACAAACTATAAACAGCAGAGAGGGCATCAGTATAATAATTACCCACACAAGGTATTATATCATTTTTTTCATTTAAATACTTCTGATTTTATAGCATCAGTACAGTCCAGCCGGGACCAGTGGCTACCAACTTTGGTGAAGCTTTGGCCGCGAACGCCAGCACAGAAGAAGACAACAAAGACGTTTCTGAAGAAACGGTGAAGGTGAGAAATCTCGTCATATCCAAAATAATCATATTTCATTTCTCAAAGGGAATTTGGTAACTTTGTCTCAGATTCTGAATCAATGTCCTGGATTTTGCTCATGCTGCAATGATATTTATAAACATTTATGTCAGTCAGGAACCCCGTGCACTATTAGAGGCCGATCGCATGTCTGATTATCAAGATATTTATGATTGGAAATAGAAATTTAAAAAGTCGTTTTCCTAACGGTTTTGCATAACACTACAGTCTATTGGGGAAATGAGTATGGTAAAACCGGTCACTAATTTTTTTTTTACTTTTTGAGGCACTTCATGATCATTTTGAAGCGCAATTATTTTAGGGCTTCAATATTACACCATATCACAGACACTGAAAACACATATATATACCATGCATCTCAGATTTTACATCGTTAAACGATGCCTTTGAACAAAAAGTAGTATTGCCTTTTTATTTTGTTTTTCAACTTTAATTCATTTGTTATAATCTGAAGTAGCTCAAAATGTTCTTTGTACTTCCATGCGCATGCCTGTCATTTATGGTCAAGAAATGTCGCGGTCTAGTGGATACGTCACTAGAGACCGTCGAACACATGGTTTTCGGTTCGGGTCCCGCTGTGGCACTAATAGGGATTAATTATGCACGACGAGAACGTGGACTGCCCATTTAAGGCAATGCGACGTCACTGCCAGTGCCTTAAAAGGACGTCACATTGCCTTAAAAGGGCAGTCCACGCGTTCTCGTCGTGCAGAATCTAAAAGTCCCTAATGTCCTTTGACAAGATACTAATATATAAAATATTTGCCACAATTGAATAGGGTGTAGTTAGTGCATGGGTACCTGAGAAGATTTGTTTTCGTTGAATGGTTTCAGCGCCCTAGAGCAGCTGTGCTAAGCCTATGGTATTGCTAGGCGCCTAAAGCATCCTCTACTAGTATGGATGGATGTACGCAATAAATGTAGTTATTATTTTTTTCTTCTTCTTCTTCTTCTTCTTCTTCTTCTTCTTCTTCTTCTTCTTCCTGTTCCTGTTCCTCTTCTTCTACTTTATATCTTTATTATAACTATTGTTATTACTAATTTTATAAATATCATTATCCTATGCAGCAAATGACGGCATTCCGACTCCTACTTCACAAGCCTGACCTGTTCGCCGCCCAGCAGACCGAACCGGTCATCGACGTCATTGTGGAGTGCGTCGAAGCGGACAAACCGAAACTGCGGTACCCGACAAGCGATAGTGTGCGGAGCTGGGTCGCCAAGAGATACCGCAAAGAAGGGGTGACTGGCTTAGAAAGTTTGTTTGAATGAGTTAGCGTGAAAGAATGGAAGTGAATGTGAGAGACATTGTGGCAGCTCTAGGAACGACGGGTTGGGGTGGAGGGGGTGGGGGATTAAAACTCGGTCAAACTCGGTCAAACCCGATAAAAACTCGGTAAAACCCGGTAAAACTTGGCGAAGCATATCTTACTTGATGATCAGCTCCGAGATGATGATAATGAATGTTCAAGATGTATATATTGGCAGATACATGGACGAGGGGATGGGGTATCTCAAAAAAATAAAACCCATTTTGATATACTTTATACCATACAATACGCACAAATAGAAAATGACATGCACTTACCCAAAACGCCTATGAGCAAAAGGTCGAACAAAAATCGAAAGGGGGTTGAAATAGAGACATTGACATTTAGCGGGTTATTATGCTTATTTTTAATTTGTTGTTCTTTCTTGATTGATCTAGAAAAAGGAAATGTGAAAAAGAAATTGAAACACGTCTACCGAAATCGATGGCGTAGAATTGTCACTTATATCACTTTTTCTACCTCTGACATTTTTATACTGAACCTAAGACTCAAGTTGGAGTTTAAATCGAGAATATTATTTTTAAGCTTCTTGAGGGTGTTTTATCATTTAAAATCTTCTTTAGATCAACCACTAATAAAATGATCGGCTTTATTTTAAGATCGACTTAAAGCTTGTTGAAACACTCTTAAACCCTAGCCTAGTTGGAGTTTGAATTTGGCGTCACAAATGTAATTATCTAATTATATTGATGATTATAGACACTTCTTTATATGTTGTTAAAGTATGAATAAATATTCCTGTAATATTTGATGTGATTTGTGTGTGTGTTTGTTTGTCGTTTTCTATAATATAGGATTTCCCGGCCAAATTCGCGTGTTTGTCATTCGAATTCATTTACTTTGCATTTAAGTTAGCGCAGATCGGCTTTGCCATACCAATTATCATTCAATTTTCCAGTTTTTGTATTTAATTTAGGATTTTGGTCGAAGGGTTTCATAGATCTGTCATTCAATTTAGAAACTGCTCAACTAGC